GCAGGTACATATATATGTTCTCTGCTTCATAGCATTAATTCGACTTCAAATGTAATCAAAAGTAACAAAAAATGAATATGATCGAGATGTAACCGAGAAATATCTGTACTCATGCCATAGAACAATATTTTCGGTTATGTTGCCATGTTCCGTCCCAAACACACTTCTGAACTTGTTCACGGCAGACGTAATTAAAAATTAACATATCGGTTTTTACTTTCCACAAAAAGCAGTAAATGCACAATGGTGTCACTGGACTATCTATCTGGTCCATTACTTGACGTTTGGTTTCTTTAAAGACAACTGTCGCATGGAAGGCAACATACAATTGTATGAGTGGCATGTGTTACCGGTAGGGCAGGACAGTACCTTTTTTCACTGATTTTCAGCGATCTATTCATATCATTTTTCGCTTTGGCTGTTTTGCTTTTACGCCCAAGGGAATCTGTATTGGCGGACAATCGAGCCTGGTTGTTGACATTTTATAACTTTAAAAAAATATTTTGTTCTGTTATGTTCTGCAATACTGAATTTTAAGGGTCGTGTCTATAATATGTTACCACATTTATATACTGTAATAATGTGTTAGGTTTTAAACATACTTAGCTTTGGATAAATATCGCTGAAAGGAACAAAACAATATTCGTGTGTTTTAACTCTACACGTTAATGACATTTATCACATGTCAGGGGCTCAATATCCCAAAATATCAACATGCTTTGATAAAAAACATGTTCATGAAAAGTGTGGAATATAGTTATGGTGCCATTCATTAGTTACCCCCTCCCGCTCGTGAGTCACCACGAGGTACGTCTGGAAGAGTCAGAAGAGAAATGTCAACTGTTGTGCGATGTCCAATCGAAACACATTTAGATATTAACTACTTGATTATCTGAATATTTCATCACTTTGCTTTGTGAAATACAGCAGCAAGCAAGGATTGTAGAAATGTCCATATTTGATCGGACATGTTTAAGCTCTTGCTTGGTGTTGATGTTGTCGTATTGTAAGCATCCCAGAGCATGATATACCAAGTACCAAAACTGTTTAAATGGTTTAGAGGGTTAGAGAGAGGGTTGGGTGGGTCGCTGGAGTGTGCCCACCTCTAATATGAAGACAGAGATCATATTATATGACTAAACATTAGCTGAGATAATGATAAGGATAAGATCTTATGGAAATTGTTTGAACTCACATTCTTGTGTAGATTAACGATACAGCATAATTGCACTGAGCTGAGTTAATCTGGACTGGGTATTCTCTGTAATTTATTTGTAAGTGAATCGTGAAAGGCAGTTACACGCTGGTAAGTGTGATCTAGAACATTGTGAAACATGATATTCTTATGGTGATGACCATGGTGATGAAATTCAAAGAAGACAGCTTTCTCAACATTGCTGACACCTATAGAAGATGCTTTCAAGCAACACATGTTGAGAGCCATGTTTCAGACGACAATATGGCTGCAGATATATCACTCATCTCACCTGCAGTGACAGATCACATGTCATTTGAACCTGAGGCTTGAGTGACAGTGCAGTAGTGGCAGAGACTATATGTATCTTATATACTGCATTGTGAAAAATAATGGATTTGGTAAAGAGTTTCTGACAATATTGAAGCAGTTGCATATAAGTGTTTGTTTGTTTATTTGTTTGTTGTTTAACGCCGCACGCAGCAATGTTCCAGCTATATGACGGCGACCTGTAAAATAATCGAGTCTAGACCAGACTATCCAGTGATTGACAACATGAGTATTGATCAATGCAATTGTGATACGATAACATGCATCAACCGAGTCAGCGAACCTGACCACCCGATCCCGTTAGTCGCATCTTACGACAAGCATAGTCGCCTTTTACGGTAAGCATATGAGTACTTCACATTGGCACTTCAAAGTAAGTCAATATGATCAGCAATTATAGTACATAGTACAGGCGATAATTATCTTATATATGACAATAACACGCTAGATATAGTTCCTTGTCGAAACCCAAATTTTGACATTTAAGGTATTCATACATTCCAAGTGAAGACGACCATGGTCTTGGCGGCCATCTTGGAGGCCATTTTGTCCGCCATATTGGATAAATCAAATTTCTCAAGCTCATATATGTAAGATACTTAAGCAATTCATTTGTTCAAATAAACACATTGGTGTACAAGAATGTTAGTGTTGTCATAGTAGTTTTTAAAGTATGTTATTATTTGTTGTTTCCTTCACAGGATGGGGGTCCGAATCATATTTACTAAATTTTCATACGTTATATTATACCTACATTAATTGTGGATATTATTGTAAGTTCCTTAAACATTCAGGCAGATTTTGAGATATGACACGACATGGTTGTCAATATGGAGGTAACATTACCTTTAGTTTTGGAATATTTTGAAAATTGAGTAATTTGTTCCTGTTTTTGACACATTTTGGCCCATAACTCGACTTTGATAATTTTGCTAATTATTCATTTGTAGGTTTCCTAAGTCAGCACACTGATTTTGTTTATAAAATGAACATTGCAATATGCAAACTGACTTGTTTAGACACAATTATGCATTTTACAACCTAAATACATGTCTGCCACCAAAAGAAATCAAAGAAAAATATGTTTGTCCTTTGTTCTACTGTGATGAGGGGTTACTCCTTAAATAAGCCTCGTTTTAAGGGTTGGCCGCTACTCTATTAGTAAGCTACCCTTCTCGCCCTCTTTCCCTCTCTTATTCACTCACTCTCTCACGCATAGCCTACTCAACTGGGCTGCCATATGTCACTGGGCTGTATGTTGAATGTAAGCTGTACGTGTATCCAGATAAGTCCTATGTCACTTGACTGAATGTGGAATGTAAGATGTACGTGGATCAAATAAGTCATACGTCACTGGGCTGCATGTGGAATGTAAGCTGTACGTGTATCAAGATACGTCCTATGTCACTGGACTGCATGTTGAATGTGAACTGTACGTGTATCAAGATAATAAGTCACGAGTCACTTGGCTGCGTGTTGAATGTAAGCAGTACGTAAATTAATGTAATAATGTTGTAAAATCTTTGAGCTCTGCCTATATTTCTTTTGGGTCACATTACTGTCTGCGATTTGTCTTCAGTTTATCATGAAAATAATCTACATTTAAATACAAGTTGAAGTGCGAAATTACGCAGTGGGACCAGTGACGTTCAGTTTTAATTTATGAATATTAAATAAAAGTATTTATCAAACAAGGACATACACATGACATTTGTACTTTTGTTAAATAATTTATAAAAAGCAAAAGCATATTTCACATTTAAAATATGCTAAAATTATCAATGTAATTTTGTTCAGTAATTGATACCCAGTTATTATATATTAAACAACTGCTTTCCCGAAATATTATATATTACTCCTATTTCCCTTTCATTCACAATCCCATAGTAGTCATAGCATCTTTTATTATAGCAGCAAAATCTATACATATAGGATATATTTAGGATTTTACGAAAAGCCTTCCCCTCCCCCAAATAGATGCGTATAAACTAGTGACCTTATAACAACCATCGGCGAATCCTACATTTACGTGTTATGTTATAAGGGAAATTATTACTGCTTATACTGCACAATGATTATGCCACTAAACCTGGAGCCAAATTTATGCATGTATTTATTCCTATTTCAATATTTCCATGAAAGATGGGTAGGTATTTCTCTTGTTGTGGTGTCAAATTCACAAATCACTGCAGTATCAATACAGAAAAAAACCTACATGACATAATCCTACTCATTGTTTTCATCACATAATTGGGACCTTTAGTAAAACTTTACAACGTGCGATGGCAGGAGGTTCGTGTTGTGTGTCGTAACCGGTTCCACTATTGGTATAAGCACCAACCTTTGCGCATTTGCAGATACCTGTAGACGGGAGGCAAGTTAAAGATAATCGTATCTCCATCGTTGAAGAATTCGAACTGAATCCCAAGCCATCTTACAATCGTGCAAAGATCGGTTTGTGCAAGTGGAATAGGACAGTTGTATGGTGGCTCTAAAGTTGATCTTCGGCGCCTAAGATCGCTTGTAACTAAGATTGCTCTGTACATGTGGGCCCACGTGTTCATATACATGCACACAGAGCATAACGAAAGCGTGAAAGAACGGTATAAAGCCAAACTGTAGTGGCGTTAGCTGGAGACACGCCAGTCTGCGGTCTGTGTCGTGTTGGGAATCGGCGGTCCGGGTTACAGTTCGTCTCCCAGGCCTATCCTTATGGATATTTTGCCATTGTGGATGCGCCTGTTTTTACATATAGTGCCCTATGGCGGATTGTATGTACCTTCACAATGAATTCCAATAGGCCCATGGCTGGACTCTCCAACATCAGAAAGATAAATAGAGACTTGTAACATATTTATAGACTTTATGATTGAGTGTGTGAGTTGTTATTAACGCCGCTTTGAGTGAGTGAGTGAGTTAGTTTGTCTTAACGCCGCTTTTAACGGTATTACAGTTATATCACGACGTGTCAGCTTAATGTGGGAGGAAAGCCCGAAGTGATGCAGGTCTCAGACGTTTACCACTTCGGTGAAACCCACGAGCACGGGTATGGTGCTGACAAACCTAGAAACATAATCGGGGCGAACCGGGATTCGAACCCACAATCATAGGTTTCTGGCATGCCCAAGGGACGCAACTCTGCACAGCGAATCGCGGCGCCTAAGACGACTGGGCCACCCGTGCCCCACGCCGCTTTGAAGAGTATTTCAGCTACATCACGGCGTGTAAGCTTCTTGTGATCAGAAAACCCAAAGTGATGCAGGTCTCAGACGTTTGCCTCTGTGGTGAAACACACAAGAAACATAAGACTAGAAACATAATCAGGGTGAATCTTGGATTCGAACCGACGATCAGCGGTCTCTGGTCACAACTCTGCATAGCGAATTGCAGCTTTTAGACGAAAGACGTCGTGATGAGTTAATTTACAGTTCAAAGCGTCATTAACTCATTGAAATAATGAGATGAAATATAAATATAGAGCACATGGAGTTTATTTACTCATATTGTTGTCAACTAGATCTCGCTGTGTAGGTCAGTCTGTCTATGCCACTGCGTAAAAGAAAATAGGAATATCAGTTAAAAGGTATGTGTCAGTGTATCTTGTTTACAAAAAAACCCACATCAAATATGATCAATTTGATTGTGGATTCCACAATTTGTAAAGATAGTTTTATGTTTACGTTTTTGAAACAAAGAAATTGTTAAAAATTATATTTTAGACTTGAATTTATGGACACTTCTATACAAATAAACTTGTATTACCAGATCCATATCGTTTACTAGTATATGTGCGAAGCTCACCTGGCGATGATGTGAAGGACATGTAGAAACCTTCCCTTTGCACGGAGCCGTCAGATGTGAAGGTGATCACAAAGGTTCCATCAGATTCTGAGGAGCAATAAACATAAAGTTACTGGAAGTACTAATACAGGTTTTACAGAAAGAAATTCATATGTGAAAGTATGCTAGGTTAAGCGTTTTATTTTTAATCTTAAAATACGTCAAAGTAACTAAAACTGTTTCTATTTTAGTGTTTCTTGTTCATCAGTTGTTTCAAGGTCACGGAAAGCAGAAATGATGAACATGTAACAGAAATTACATAGGTTGAAAGTGAGCTACACTCACGGTATGTCTTGCTGCCGGGGCTGCTTCCACACAGTCTGTCTTCGCCCATGGTGACGGCGTCGTACATGCATCTGCTTGCACTCTCAATGTCAAATTCCTCGAAGGTGAAGTGGAGTTCAGCTGGCGTGGGAGTGTTGATGGTGTATGTGCATGCCATGTTGGGACTGTAGCCACCAGGGGGGGTTGCGAATGACCCGGATGTACCATTGATCACAGCATTACAGTACTCTGAATTCGATAAAAAGGCAGAACACCCTAAAAGTAGTTTCATGTCCTTAGTTTAGTGTCATTGACCAGACGAAACTGAGCTTGGGATCTTGGGGTCAAACAAGTGTCTCTCCTGTTAATGAGGGCTTGGGGTTATTAAAAGTGCAATGCCAAGGAGGAAAGCGGAATAATGCTTGTGAGGTGATATTCGCCTGTTTGGCTGAGATGAAATCAATTTGAAAGTTCGTCCAACAATTCATTTTAAAATGATCACAATATTTGTTCATCTGAATGGTCTCTGGGGCATGATACAATGATAAATATACGTTAATGTAAATGGTTTATTAAGTATGTGATGCGAAGGTTGTACTTGCCTACTTCAGTCTGGTAGTCGAAGGCGAAACCGAGACCCGAAACACTCGAATCACTGACGAATGTCATGGCGAGGAGTGGCTCTGCGTTAGAGTCTGGATTATAGAAATCTTTATCAGAAAACAGAGGAGTTGAATTTATAAAAGTGATGTGAAAAATATTGTTTCTGTCATCTCAAGTATACCAATATAAGGGCGGGGGACACAAATATGCATATGCTAAAAGGCGATATCAGAAGACACATGCATAAATGTACTAATTTACCTGTGTTAACATTGATATTAACACTTGCAGTGTGCTTACATTGCTTCACGAAGGGACTTCTGTTGTTTCCACATAGTGTGTCGATGGTGTTGTTTCCAAGCCTCACTGACAGGCTGTCGTAACGACAGTTGCTATTATATTCAACATCAAAGCGTGTGAAGTTGATCGTGGTCACGTGGGGAAGAGCAGGTGAATATAGATTGATGCGGCACTCTTCGTTGTTTGCGTAGAAACCATCAATACCAGTTGCCAGAGATATTCTGCCTTCGAGGGAGGCAGTGTCGTAGTTGCAGGCTGCAATGAGAGATGGGAACTTGCATCATTATACACGTTTGCCAACTCTCAAATGAAGTAACTTTGGGGACAAACTCTTGCTCTGGTCATCTATGTTTTCCTTGGGCTTTTCCACTAAATAAAGTTGACGTCATGCATGTAACAGCACAACTGAAGGCAGAACTGCGAGTTTCTTTCCTCTAAAAATAACACATGAGTCACAATGTGTGGGATATATTGACAAGGCCCAAATCCTGTGTCATAAATATGGAAATTATTATGAAAGTATAAATAATGATAAAAACACACAAAAACCGTTTACATGACTCACAGGTTGTTTATGATCATAATAGTATTGAGCTGGAACCGTACAACTTCAAGCTTCCATAAAGAACTATACCCTGATCAAGGAATTAAACTTTGTCCCGTGTTTGTAGGAAAATGCAAATAATATGCATTTAGAAAATCATAACATAGCGGGTGGCTTTTGTTCAACAATTTGTTCCTTTTTAATATTTCAGTTGCTGAAACCAAATTCCTCTTCATCTTATAAGCGACGTGACACCAACATATTTACAAGACCCTACTGCCCCCATCAACTAACTATTTAACAGCTAAATGTGTCCATCAAAGCTCCACATATTTAGACGATGAATTTCCTTTTCAGATGAAGGCTTTATTTGTGTGTAAAATGACAATGACCTACCATATGTTGTTTCGTCGGAAGGTTCCACGGTTGTGTTGCTTTGTGCGACTGTCGTGTTGCTTGGTGCGACTGTCGTGTTTCCTGGTGCGACGGTCGTGTTGCCTGGTGCGACTGTCGTGTTTCCTGGTGCGACTGTCGTGTTGCCTGGTGCGCCTGTCGTGTTTCCTGGTGCGACTGTCGTGTTGCCTGGTGCGACGGTCGTGTTGCTTGGTGCGACGGTCGTGTTGCTTGGTGCGACGGTCGTGTTGCTTGGTGCGACGGTCGTGTTGCCTGGTGCGACGGTCGTGTTGCCTGGTGCGCCTGTCGTGTTGCTTGGTGCGACGGTCGTGTTGCCTGGTGCGACTGTCGTGTTGCTTGGTGCGACTGTCGTGTTGCTTGGTGCGACTGTCGTGTTGCCTGGTGCGACGGTCGTGTTGCTTGGTGCGACGGTCGTGTTGCTATGTGCGACTGTCGTGTTGCCTGGTGCGACGGTCGTGTTGCTTGGTGCGACGGTGGTGTTGCCTGGTGCGACTGTCGTGTTGCCTGGTGCGACTGTCGTGTTGCTTGGTGCGACGGTCGTGTTGCCTGGTGCGACGGTGGTGTTCATTGGTGCGACGGTGGTGTTGCTTGGTGCGACGGTCGTGTTGCTTGGTGCGACGGTCGTGTTGCCTGGTGCGACGGTGGTGTTTCCTGGTGCGACTGTCGTGTTGCTTGGTGCGACTGTCGTGTTTGCTGGTGCGACTGTCGTGTTGCCTGGTGCGACGGTCGTGTTGCTTGGTGCGACTGTCGTGTTGCTTGGTGCGACGGTCGTGTTTCCTGGTGCGATGGTCGTGTTGCCTGGTGCGACTGTCGTGTTGCTTGGTGCGACGGTCGTGTTGCTTGGTGCGACGGTCGTGTTGCCTGGTGCGACGGTCGTGTTGCTTGGTGCGACGGTCGTGTTGCCTGGTGCGACGGTCGTGTTGCCTGGTGCGACGGTGGTGTTGCTTGGTGCGACGGTCGTGTTGCTTGGTGCGACGGTCGTGTTTCCTGGTGCGATGGTGGTGTTGCCTGGTGCGACGGTGGTGTTGCTTAGTGCGACGGTCGTGTTGGCTGGTGCGACTGTTGTGTTCGGAGATGTTCCATTTTCTTAAGTAAAGTAAAATGTAAAGGAAAAAAGATAAAAAGACTCAAATATAACTTTGTGTGTGAATACATACACACAGTAATGAGTCATGAGATGACAAAACACATATCTTCAATGATCTTCGTATTCAGAAGTCTGTTATTTAATGGTAAATCTTCTGACAACGTTTTGACGAACTCACGAACTCGATCATATATCTTTTTCATAGCCACACATTCAGAAGTGTATCGTACCCATCCTGATGTTGAAGCGAGCCACAAAACCTCTGCTTGTCACTGAACCGTCAGTGACAAATCTCAGCACAACCTCACCAGTTTCGTTCACTGTAACAGAAACAGTGGAACCTATTGACAAGAGACCCAAATCAAAATAAATATCTAGTGAAGGTTTTGATTTCATGTAGTGCGTTACTACGACGTTGAACTCTCATTTGATATCGACCACTTCTCTGAGCTTACCTTGCCTCCCGTTAATTGTACTTCCACACCATCTTCGTCCACCATTGATCTGAACATAATCGTAGGGACATCCATTACCGCCCTCGAGGTCGAAGGTGGTGAAGTTGAAGTGAATACTGCTGTTCCTGGGCACATTGAAGACGTAGCTGCAGTTGAGGTTGTTCTGGTAGTCCTCCCCTGTACCAGGCAGGCTCTGGATCATGCCATGGTCAGCAAGGGTAGAGAAGGTGCAGTTGCGATGGCTCCTGGGAACACCCACTAAAACACAAAGATAGGCTTCTATCAGGGGAAGACAGCTCAATAGTCTTGTAGCATGTATGTTTGCACGTTGTCATTCAATGCATGGGACATGGACGACGACATCTCGTCAATTCAGAATACAGTCATATCATAAATTACTCGAAATAAGTCTGATGAATTCATAAAAATCCGTACCAAGAGGGAAATATAGCATGGCCTAGGAAATGCATAACCGAATCTCTGTCATAAATGTGAAATGTTGGACTTTCTCATACATGTATAAAATATCTGTGTGAAATGTAGACAAGTAGTAGGCAACCCCATGGGTACCAGTTGTCCTCGAAATTACCTCATCTGTTTTTAATGCATACGAGTCAGGATTTATGCTCGGGTATATAACTTACGCTTCAGGTATATTAATGATTTCATATCTTTGAATAATTGTCAAATAACCAATTACCAATTACCTGATTTGCTCACCTGAGCCGGAAATAATAGATACCAGTGAAACCGCTACATCTGTTTAATATTTAGATATATGCATAAAAAATCAGTAATCACAATACTACGATACGAGCGAGCAATATTACAATGTTTATCTCCATTTCTCAATCAAGCATGCTCTTTCTCCTAAGATTTTGAAGAGCGTCATACGACTCTTGCTCAAAGGTTTTTTTTTTCAGGGTTAATACGGTCATGGCATCAGTAAAACTTTCAAAAGTTTTATGGTAGGATATCTAAAAAAATGATGTTTGATGCAATTCCTTATTTCAGTTGTATCATATGTACCTGTTTGTTTCAGATGAGCATATGACTTGTCTTTGCATGTGTTTGTGATGGTGTCAGTCGGTTACGCTCATCTGTTCGTTAACACCTAGTATCCTCATTATTTGGAAGTGGTTCATAAACACATGCTTATGATATGATCGGAATCTCACAATGGGCTTATGGTTATGGAAAAGTTGTTTTTTTTCATTCAAATAAATATTCAAATGCTTTCCTGTCCGCTCCGTGGTTCAACGTATTACTTAAACCCACTGACGAAAAGCTGGTCGGGAAGAGTAGTTGTCACGATTTGTGTCTTCATTTTCGATGAGACAAAGTTCAGAGAAAGGGAAAAGTTTCTTGTTTCATATATAGCCTTAAAATCAACTATGAAACTATATTTACGAGATTCATTTCCGGTGGTTTCGGGAGAAGATGTTGCATTCAGGGAAGGCGAGGCTGTCACGTTCAAGGACGGAGCGGTGCTGTAGTTCAGGGAAGGCGAGGCTGTCACGTTCAAGGATGGAGTGGTGCTGTAGTTTAAGGCTGGCAGTGAACTATTTTCTTCGGATACTGTATCCATGAAAACAAATTTAGAATATATTGGAATTTGACGTCATACCTTTTGCATACAGAAAAACGATGGAAGTTGAAATTTGTTTTGCGTTCTTAAACCAATACAGTATGTACATACCTGGGAGAGTGATATATAAGACATTGATGCCACGACCAACAATAGAGGCGTCACTATGGAAACACAACTGGAAACTGTCCGTACTGTTGACTGAAAAACCAACATGGTACAATCAATCATTATTAAGTAAGTTGCTGATTGGAGTATAATGCAAGATGTCTATTTAGTGTTGTTGCAATGGTGAGTCTTACAGCACATGACAAACCGGTAGATTGATAGGTTTGTGTAAGGTTTCTATATCTGAATAAGGTATTGTTGATAAACAAGTATTTCTATATGGCCATTTTAAAAACAATTTGACGGATAAGTACTTTGAGCATATAAATATAAAACGTATATGGTAATAGTGTGCCACTGACTACTCGATGTGAATATTGTTGTATATCCTTGAGGTATACTGCCGCAACGTGTTGCGTTGACAACGGAGTCAGGCTTGTGAATTCTAACACTTTGCAAAACAAAGAGAAGAAAAGAAAACCAAAAGAAAATATATTCTTCCTTACACGATCTAATGTATCCGAAATCTTTCGTGCCACAGTCGATCTCGGTAATACCGTCACTTGTTCCATAGGTAACATAGTCATAACTGCAGCGAGGACCTTGCTCAATGTCAAAGACACTAAACTCCAGATCGACCGTGAAAGAACCGCCAAAGTAAGGACGGAGCTCGAAGCAGCAGTCTTCGTTGTTTTGGTATTGACCAGAGCCAAACTCTATCTCTCCAATGAGATCTTCCCTCACGCCCCCAACACATCCTGAACATCATGGAAGATTATTTGAACACATTTTAATAAACGGACTGAACATATATGTTATCAAAATATGTGCTGGTCTTCATGTAGATCTTAGTTCTCGTTGTACCTCTCTTTCAACTGCAAGGTCCATCCTCAGGTAAAATACCCATGAATGATAGGTCCCTGTTGAACGATATCATAAACACGTTCATGTATATTCACTTGATGTATTAATAGAGGTACATATTGTATTCATCAAAATATCATCAGACTTCAAACTATGAACTAATTGATCAAAACTCATTGAAATATATACACCTTGAAATCATTTAAATATTCATATACTTTTTTTTATTTTCATTTTTATTTGTGTGAAATAACCACATTGAAATGTAGAAACCGGAATCGGTTAACGTAGATTAGTCCAAACAGTTCGGGCGTTTCATATTTAGCTGCGTTTTCATTTTTTAGCTCGTTAAAGCTGTGAACTTACTACTTCCAGCTTGTCGCTTGAACCGTGCTTTCTCATTCTGTTGGAGAAAAATAATATATATTGACTGTGGATGTATGAAGCACCCATAAAGGTATGGTTTGTATAGTAAACGGCTTTTTGATAACCTCAGTATGATCTCATGACATTGCAAAATATCACTCATTAAAAAAACGCTTTAAAAGTTTTAACAGCCAAGAATTCTTGATCTTTTTAGCCGAACACGACTTATAAACTATACATAACATAAGTGTGAACAATGACATTACGTGTCTCGTTCTGCAATAGAGATCTAGATTATCTACTCAAAAGAAGTTAAGTAACATCCAATTCTTTTATATTTCTACAATTATTTATCGTTGCATGACAGAATGGATATTTTGCTCTCTGTAACTGGCGTACTGTTGTTTGTCACAGTTGTAAGCTATGAGTTGAATGACGACCAACTGCAGTTGTACTGAAGAGGACAGTAACACAGTTTATGTGTAAATCATGGCATTCGGTACAACGTTAGATAAGTTGCCGCGTACTACACTTACTTTGAATGCTCTTCCTTCTGTGGAGGCCAGACAGAGGCAAACCACCAGCAAGCTGATCACTGCACGTGGAGACATCTTGATGTACTCTGTACCTCCAGACAATTGCTGAAACTTATATAGTCTCCGAGCTTCAAGAAATTAAAGATGCATGTTGATTTTCAGTAACGTCGATAACGTGGGTAGCGTCCGACATTCTGGAACAGTGCTAATTGTGTGACCACCCACTGGAAATCCGATTGCACATATACCAACAGGACCATCTGCAGAATTTGATATCACAGACGCTGATGGTCACTATTGACATACCATTACTCTACAGATATTGATATGTTGAAGACATTCACAATCAGCAAAAATACCACGTGGTAACTACGTGATAACCTCGTGTTAAGTAAAAGTTTGTTCTACAAGGCTGAAGGCGTATCTGGTCTAGAGACAATAGACAAGTGTGCGAAGAAGGGTGGTATGTTTCTAATGTTTTCCCAAACTATATACTAGTATGTCCAAAAGTTATTATTGATAACTGAAAAGTAAAACTTTCGTATGTTTTTCTTCGACTGTGTACACATGTAAAGAAAACGATTACTTAATGTAACTGGACATAATGGAAAGCCTGACCGATATTCAGTCTAAAAATTCATAATATGAAAAATATGATTTTTGAAACAGTCACTTATTATGTCTTTGTATGTAATGTGCTATGTTGATGGTGGGACACGTGGTTCTGTTGGGTGTTTCAACAGGACGGCAGCGAACATATGGGGTATCACTCCCCACTCACCACTCATAGAGGAAAGACTGTTTGTTGGAGGAAAATGAGATTCTTGCAACCTTTGATTGTAGTCTCTTCATTGTTTATCCTGAAATCAAATTGGGTCGTTATTGTTTGCCAGGCAATACGGAATTAATAGATATTTTCAATTTGCTGTGCAAGATATCCCAAGTCAGTATTTTTAAACTCTTTGTTCCTGCAAGTGTGAAGTATGGCTTTGGCTATGTTTACATTTATATTTCAGACAACGCTGACGTTCGTACTTGATATACCAATATGGACGAAAAGGTATAAGGCGTGTTACAACCCTCAATGTAAAAATTACTCTTAATGAAAAAAAAATGACATTAATGGTTACGGGTTAACTCTTGTTACAACCCTTAATGTAAACATTACTCTTAATATAAACATATATTACATTAAGGGTTGCGGGTTCACCCTTGTTATAACTCTTAATGTACAAAAATACTTTTACATTAAGGGTTGAAATGGTAGATAATATTGTTTTTACATTAAGGGTTATCACTATGAAATAATACTTATCGAACTTTCATGCAACTTCGCAGATTTAATTGATCGTTACTTTGTCTAGATGTGCAAATGACTAATAATTTTTCCTACTCTACAACGACCTCCTGGTTGTTATATTCAGGCTTCATAACCGATTTGTATCAAACTTACTAATAACAAAGGTTATTTTTCGATACTCTGCAAGGTAACCTCGTGACTATCCTAATACCGTAACGACGGAAAGGAGGACTCAGCCCAAGCAGATCAGACCAAGTTGTAGATGATGGTTGGTTGTTAGAATGGTCTATTAACAGAGTTTTAGGCATAAAATAATGGACTTTTTCTTGCAGTATTACGGATATGACAGTTAAGCATACACCAGAATCAAATGTTATTACAAACGACTGGAATTCCAATGCAATGGTGTTTGGTTAGAATAAGAAACCGTAGGTTTCCCAAGTACCGTGCCGAGTCAAATATAGCCACTTAAAAGTTATATTTTTCGGATATGCAGTTTCTATAGCAGTTAAGCAGATCTTGTAGTAAGACCATTGTTGATTGAAGAAGAATTAGGCATACGGCCTGTAGAGTATTTCATGTCAGTTAGGGATCGACCATTCGATCTTCTGGGGGAGCTGACATATAAGCTATAAAAAGATAATTTTTACATTAAGGGTTGCGGGTTGTTACTCTCAATGAATTATTTTTTTTACATTAAGATTTAACGCATAAACCTTAATGTAAAGGCGCCACAAAGTGCTGTTAAGAGTTGCGTTCCTTATTTGTTCCAGGTTCAGCTGGTTGTACTTCGAATCCCAGATTCGCCCTGAGTATAAGCTTTGGCCTTATTTTCAAAATAAATAGAATTACTTGTAGTGTACATGAACGAAACTGAACGAGTCATACGTGCTTACACCAAGTACTACTCATACCCGTGAGATATACAAAAATGTATTTAATTTGGTCTTTTGCCCAAATAAAATTTACGAATTGAGATGCCTTGGGTCCACAGAGTAGAGACACAATATGTAAGTGAAATGTTTTCTACAATACAGAACGCGTTGAATATACAAGGCTGTATCATTAAGTAATTCGGAATTATTTGTAAACATTAGAATAGGTACTGAAAGATAAATTGATAACAAATAATATTGGCTGAGTAATTTATACCTGTCCAAACTGAAACTGCATAGGTCGTGCGTGATATTGGTCTTCATCGGCGTTCCGACAACAGTTTACATATTCTTCCTGTTTTATGAGTAAGTGAGTGATTGTGGTTTTACGCCACTTTAAGCAATATTCCAGCAATATCCAGAAATGGGCTCCACACAAAGTGCCCATGTAGGGAATCGAACCCGGGTCTTCAGCGTCGCGAGCGAACGCTTTAACCACGAGGCTACCCCCCTCCCCCCCCCCTGGTTTATGAAATAGCATCATACACATACAGTGGGTCTGCTAATTATGGTATTTTTGTTACACCAGGATATGATGCAAAGTAGTTATTTATCAAAATCGAAATGTTTTTGTGAACCCGGAATACGTCTATTTACAGGCGGTTTGTGCATGTTTCACTCCATTGGTTACTTTGTGCCATCTCCATGGTATAACAACGTGTAGCCACTGAAGAAAAACACTGTGTTATGACTTAAAGATATTATATTGTCGAAAAAGTCCCAATAACCAGGATTAATTGACGTGAGTAATGTGGGTTAACGCTGCTTTTAGCATTATTTCAGAATATCGCTTTGGTGGAACCCGCGAGCACAGAGATGCGTCACAGAGACCAAGGGTCAGAATCGGAGGTCATCCAGGGTTGGAACTTACGATCAGTGGATCAATCGTATGATGAAAGTATAGCTTCGACCACTTGTCCACGCGCACCCCTTCTCACATGGAACATATATTAGTTTTCATCATACTATGTACATTTGACATGGGCCGCCTCCGCGGTCTAGTGGATAGAGTATCCGCCCGGTATTCATGTCAAACAGCGAAATGGTATTCAGTGGGATAGCACTATGAAGTCGGCATTAGTCCTGGCTAGTACAAGCATCCACACAAACACGTGCATGTACGTCGCTATATCAGTGCAATAATCACATGTCTGACATGACATTGTGTTTCTTTTGCCAAAGACCATTAACTAGATAGTTTCAAGTCGATACAGCTTATTGGTAAAGAGTTAACAATATTTAAGACACATGTTGTTTTTTGTATCTTAATCCAAGTAATTCTGACCCGGACGCCAGGGTCAAAGGCAGCCATCAACGCGGAACTCAAGCAGGAATTACCAATGCTTTCATCTGAAATAATACGTGATCGTGTCGTTCAGTTCGCTATCGGTAACTGTTAAGTTTTACGACGATGATATTTTAACATTTTCAGTTGTCTAAACATGAATCAAACAAATAGTCGATGCACTTACTGGTATTCTGCACTTAGCAGGCTCAATCAAGAACCCAATGACCACGAAGGTTATTCAGTTTGTATAAAAGGTTAATTGTATGACAATGTACCAAATGATCTGTCCCCAATATCTAGAAAACAAATTGGTTTACTCTTACAATGACAACGATAGTTTAGTTCAGCTGGAATTGGTTGGGGAAGGGCACCGTAGCCCACATACAGGCAAACAATGTCTGTAGTGTGTGACAGATGAAGCATCGGGTAATTACTAGAGTTCACATTATAGAGTAGTGGCCAGACCCTCATACCCCTCCCCATAGTAGAAATAGCAAACTGAGATTTTCCTTATGTTTTTGTATCCAACAGACTAGAAAATGGTGGTTGTGGTCAAATGGGTTGGTGGCAGATACAGTCAAAATGCACTTTTCTGTTGTAAAAATGGAGAAACTCAAACATTGTCCCACTGAATTCTAGTAGACTGGAATTATTATTATTTTTTAAAATATAGCCTCTCGCAAATTGAGTTATTAGTAAAAATATTTTGCTCTATTTTCATTTTTAATTATTTGAAAAAGAACCGAAATGAGCTATTAGTATTATCATCCAAGCCATTTGATATCTCAAAATGAGCCGACACGCCTTATGATGAGATGGCAGTGTTCATATTACACATAATCGTTATGATTTAAAACAAATAGTAACAAAATGTCAAAATGTGCATTTGTTGTATTCACATTGTTAATTTCATTAATAATGGATTTATACAACACATACCTATCACCGTTTGCAAATACCTTTTCTATATAGGATTTTATTATATAAATCAATGATTATCTAAACCACCGAGGAAGGTCAATGTCACTTTGAAGGTCAAGTTCGAAATTAATACATAAATTCATAAAAATGCTACAAATGCACATACAACTATCATTACTGGTTCTGGGTATGCTTGGTAAAGATCTATAGAATATACGAGGAAACAAACTAAAAATGTGCACAACCAGATCAAAATAACTGCTGCCCCTTAGAGAACATATGTATTTACCTGTGAGAACAAGACAGTAACAAGATAACAAAGGTGGAAACAAGGGAAGCCAACAGTTAATTGGCTCTGATAGGTGATTAGCAATGGACAAATTGAACCGTATACATTCTCCGAGCCAATGGCAGAGGCACCAGCAGCGCAAGTCCCAACCCCAGAGGATGTATATTCCAGCTGTGTCCACCAATACATTGGATGTACCCTCAGATCCCTCAACACCAGACTCTATTGCTATTTCCTATCAGTGCTAATTACCCCCTGCCTCCCGTTTGCCCCTTGATCATTGCCTATTTCCAACCAGTGATAAAGTCCTGCTGTCATCCATCAGCGCTTATTAACTGTTGGCTTACCTT